CCTGTGCCAGGGCCCCACCACCCTCACAGGGAAGAACACCTAATATCAAATCTAATTCTCTCTTTCAGTTTAAATCCATTCCCCCTTATCACCACATAATCTTGTAAGAAGTCCCTCCTCAGCTCTATTGTAGCCCCTCTCAGGCACTTCACACACTCCCAGTGGATTTCACAGTTGTGTTAACTGTGTGATATTCTTGTCTGTGCTGATCCTTCCCCTTCAGCCATCCTGACAATCCTTGGGAATTCAGCTGTCCTTGCCACAGCTGTGAAACGCTTCTCCCTGCTGAAATCTCCAGAGCTGCTGACAGTGAACCTGGCAGTGGCAGACATTGGGATGGCCCTCAGCATGTACCCACTGGCCATTGCATCCGCCTGGAACCACGCCTGGCTGGGGGGAGATGCCTCCTGTGTTTACTATGCCCTGATGGGTTTCCTGTTTGGGGTCTGCAGCATGATGACCCTGTGTGCCATGGCCGTGATTCGATTCCTCGTCACCAACTCATCCAAATCCAACAGTGAGTAAATTGCCTGTCTGGTCACCTGGTGGTGCTGTGTTTGGGCTGGGCTGCTCTGGGAGGTGCTTTGTGGAATGTGGAGTGGAATATCAGGTCAGTAACAGCAGAATAAGCCTCAACTTTTCAAAGTGCAATATCAAATCCTGGTGTTCCCAGAAGGCTCTGATCAAATTCTGTATGAAGCAGTGGGGTTTTTCACTTCTCAGTTTTACCAAGTGAAACTACCGGAGAATGGAGAGCACAAATGTTTTCCCAGACCAGACTGTCTTCCTTTCCTATTTGTATCCAAGCTGATACACTGGAATTTAAAAGAAAGGAATATTCTGGCATTCCTGGGCTGGGACCACAGCACATTCAAGGTGAAATTGATCTTGTAAACCTCCCTGCTTAACTAAGCTCTAGATGAGCATTGGGGGTTGTGTTCAGGTCTCATCCAGTCCTCTGACACTCTGTTTCTCTAGAAACCCAAAGGTTAGGGACCTGCAGCAGCAGCCCAGGTGAATCTGTAGCCACCATCCTTCTGTCTAAGGAGAAGTTATGGCAAACCCCATGTGGCTGGGATGGGATCCATACACTCTTCCTCTTTCTTGCAGGTAACAAAATCACCAGGAACACTGTCTGCATCCTGATTGCTTTTATCTGGCTCTACTCCTTGCTCTGGGCCATCCTGCCCTTGGTGGGCTGGGGCTACTACGGCCCTGAGCCCTTTGGCATCTCTTGTACAATAGCCTGGAGCAAGTTCCACAACTCCTCCAATGGTTTCTCCTTCATCCTGAGCATGTTCCTCCTGTGCACCGTCCTGCCTGCGCTGACCATTGTGGCCTGTTACTTGGGGATTGCCTGGAAGGTTCATAAAGCATACCAAGAGATCCAGAATATTGACAGAATCCCTAATGCAGCCAAACTGGAGAAGAAGCTGACCCTGGTGAGTTATCCCTGTGATGGGAAGAGTGTGCAGTAATCAGGAGCTGGCAGAGAGCTGGCTCTGCTCATGCACAGCTCACAGAATCATGGAATTACAGAAACCTACACAGAAATTCTGTATGGAAACAGGATTTTAATATTTTAAGTATTAATATATTTTTTCCCAAATTTGCACTTTAGTTGTGCATTTCTTGTGGAAAAGCAGAATTGATCCAAGCCTTCTAGAGGCAAATCATAGAATCACTGAATCATTAAGGTTGGAAAAGGTCTCCAAGATCATCAGGTCCAACCATTAATTCAGCACTGACCGGTCAACCACTTAACCATGCCCCTAAGTACCACAACAACACATGTTTTTTAATATTGCTAATGACAGTGACTCCATCACTGCCCTGGGCAGTCTGTCCCAATGACTGACAACCCCACCTGTGAAGGAGGGGTAATATCCAATCTAAATCCCTTGGTGCTACCTGAGGGCATTTCCTCCTGTCCTTTCATTTTCCACCTGGGAGCAGAGCTCCCTCTACCCTCCAGGGAATTTAGAGAGTGATAAGGTCTTCCTTTTCTCCAGGCTGAGACCCCCAGCTCCCCCAGCTGCTCCTCATCAGAGCTGTGCTCCAGACCCTTTCCCAGCTCAGTTCCCTTCTCTGGACAGGCTCCAGCCCCTCAATGTCTCTCTTGTCATGAGGGCCCAGCAAGCACAGCTTTGGGTGTTGCAGTTCAGGTGTGGTCCCACACACACACCTCGTGTGCCAGGCTGTCCAGCCCTGTCTGTGCCACTGCAAGCAGCTCTGTTCCCTTGCAGATGGCCGTGCTCATCTCAGTGGCGTTCCTGAGCTCCTGGACTCCCTATGCAGCCGCCAGCTTCTGGTCCATCTTCAACTCCAGCGACTCCCTGCAGCCCGTGGTGACGCTGCTGCCCTGCCTGTTTGCCAAGTCCTCCACGGCCTACAACCCTTTCATTTACTACGTCTTCAGCAAGACTTTCCGCTGCGAGGTTAAGAAGCTGCAGTGCTGCTGTGGCTGGAGGGTTCACTACTTCAGCTCCGACAACTCCGCGGAGAACCCCATGTCCACCGTGTGGAGCGGGAGGGACAACGTCCGTCTGTCTGCGGCGGCCAAGGTGGAGAACCCGGGAGCTGCAGCTCCCTGAAATGCAGCCATGGGGTCACTGCACAGCTCAAACCTGGCCTCACTGCCAGCTCCAAAGGAGCAGGAATGCAGCAAGTGAGGCTGTCACTGCCTATCTTATGTCAATACAGAGGTTTAAGTATATATTTCTAAGCAACTCTCAAATATTGTCTTTAAGCCTCACAGGAATAATAATAAAAAAAAACAACTATTTTTTTTCCCAAGGAATTCCAGTTTAGGGGAAATAGATTTATGTATGAAACATAAAATCATGTAAATTAAACTTATTTTCAGGTAAACAGAGATTTATTAATTTCGTTGATTTTTTTCCTATAATTTTGATTTTTTTAATGCCATCTGTTTGCCAGCTTTTGGCTCTACCAGTAAAACAGCCATCAGAGAAAAGGTTGCACACAGTTACCAAATAAACACAGCTGAGTGTGTAGTTTTCCAGCAATACAGACTGAAAACCATATGAGGAGCAAGAAATTCCAGGAAATAGTGAAAATGCCAGGAAAAGGTGAAAATGTGGCTGCTCCCAAAATGATATGGAGATCTCTGGATCCTTGCTCTTTCAGAGGTGCAGCTCCAGCTCCTCCAAGCACAAGTCCAAAGAGGTGAGCAGCCTTGGTCGGATGAGGTTTGGCAGGAATGTGGCAGTCAGTGAAGGATGCCTTCTGTGTATCCCAAATGGCACAGTGGGAAGGGAAGGAAGCTCCCAGCAGGAGGAACTGTGTCCTTCAACTCTTGCTGGCTGAGGTACAACAGCTCTTCTGCCACAGAAGCTGTTGGAGCACTTTAGGATCAGAATTGCTAAAGTTGGAAAAGACCTTTAAAATCGTGTCCAGCCATCAACCCATCGCCACGCTCACCACTAAACCATGCCAAATGCTACATCCACTTATTTTCGGAACACTTTGAGGGCTGGTGACTCCATCACTTCCCTGGGCAGCCTGGTGCAGTGCTTTACCCTTTCTCTGCAGCTGTTCTCTGCACCGGATGACAAAGGCATTCCCAGGTAACCTTCCTAGCAGTGTCACCCTGCAGATGCAGTCCTGGCTCTAATGGCTTCCATGGGAGTTCCTGAGATCCCAAATTTCCCCCTGGTTAGGGCACAGACATGACTGCAACTGAGAACAGCTTGCTGATTCAGTACAACCGTAACACCAGGTTTGTTTGGTTGTTTTCTTAAGTTTTGAGAAGGTAATTTATGGTCAAATTATTATTCCATGGTTATTTCCTACCCAGCCCTGGACTGTGCTGTCTTTTCAGAGATGGAAGCAGGATGCAAGCACTGAGTTCAGGAGTGAGTCTGGGCACCTCATGTTTGCAATCACCAGTGCAACCACCTCAATACAAAAAAAAAAATTAATTAAAAATTCCAACTGATCTGACCTCTCACATATTAGGAGTTTTCTCACCACTCTGAGGAGGTTTACAATGCAACACTCAACCTGAGCGAGCCCCCTTTGGCTTCTTTCTTTCCACTGAAGATAAATGGAGCTCCCTATTCAGATGATGACATATAAAGTTAGATAATAAAACTAAAACTCTGATTTGTATTAAAATAAGTTGGAATTCAATGCCTTGCTTTGAAAAATCTTCTAGGCAGTCTCTGGCTATTGAGGCACAGGAATAACTTACAGAACTTCTATAGAAAATTTCTGTTAATGTTCAATTTTCCATCTGTAAAATTAATTGTGATTCACTTCAGAACAAAGATCAATAATTTGAGAGAGGTCATTATCCAGAAGTTATAGCATGAGGATAACACTGCAAAGACATTCCAACCCATTACTTTGCCAGCAATACTGTGCAACTTAAACTTTGTCTTGGGTTCTTGTCTCATCCACATAGCTGAGACAGTTTTGCTGCTCATGAATGTAAAACACAAGTTGTTTGACGAACAGCTTCACAAAATCACAGAAACACAGAATCACAGAGTGGTTTGGGTTGGAAGGGACCTGAAAGATCATCTTGTTCCAACCCCTGTCCCACTATCCCAGGCTGCTCCAAGCGCCATCTAACCTGGCCTTGAACACTTCCAGGGATGGGGCAGCCACAATGTAACTCTTTATAAAATCTATAGATAGATAAACCATAAGTTTTGAATTTCATGGCTTAATAAGATACAAATGCTGTACATGGCAGTAGCCTGTATAAGAGCAGCTGTGCACTGTGCTCTGTCCCCATCACTGCCCTTCCCTGGGAAGCCATCATTGCTCAAATCAAAGTGCTGTTGGATTCAATCCCATCTCTGCTGAATGAGTGATCCTGCATGAAGACTTCTAGGTCTACTATAAGTGCCAAAAAAGTTCAAAACAAGTTCTCTGCATGCGAAAGAGATGAGGCAAAAAAGACCAACCAAAGAGCTGCAGCAGCTATTTTATTTATCAGTATATCTGGAAAAAAAAAACCCAAACACACATATTTGAATTCTCTTCACTTCCTGAAGTCATAGCTCTAGAGATAAAATTATCTTGTGGGTATCTATATGAATAATCTTCAAATAGAACAAGCAGAGAGTTTAGAACTTTCTTAGAAAGCACAAAACACGAGGCCAGGGGGCAGTGGGAGCAGAGGTTTGTGGCTGGCCATCCCTTGCTGACAATCAAGTGGTCAGTGTAAGGCTGATTGTGACATTTCAGAGTTACATGGATTGCTGTCTCTTCTCCAGGCACTTCTCAATATCATCCAATACTTGCACAGCTGCTTTTGGAATACGAGTGCCTGGACCGAACACATTGGCAACGCCAGCTTCATACAGGAAGTCATAATCCTGTTGGAAAAGAGATTTAAGATCTACAGTTAATAGTGAAAAAGAAAATTGATAATTGATTTATAACTGGTACATGCTCTGTCCTCTATGCTGGGCCTGAGAAAACAGTTAAGTCCCAGAGTGGCAGCACAGCTTCCAGGAAATGGGAAAAGGGTGGAAGTTACAAGGCAGAAAAAAATACTAAAAGGTATCCATAGGAAATAGTTTATTTCTTTAGAATCAGACTAATGGCGATCCTTGGAAAGTATTCAAAAGTCAACTTTATATGAGTCTGAATAACCTAACCTAAATTTGATCTAACTTCTTATTTTGAAAATACTACTTTAAACAAGGGCTTGGAGCAGATGACTGCCAGTGATCTCTTGCAATCTAGAGTTAATCTAATTTTATGACTGTCCTGAAATTTCAAGAAGACATGGGAAGCAGTTCTGTATTCTTTCTTCTATATAGGATATATTACACCTTTACCAGCCTTAGGGTAGTAACATCCCATTGAGAGATACTGGACAGAACACAAATTATCTCCTAGAAAAATACTATGAGTTTTGTTTGTTCAGTTTAGAATTCTGCCCTTCCCAAATAACTACTTAACTGCCTAGAAAAGGGAGAGGTGTGGGAAAAGGGAATAACAGGGCATTTATGTGCAAAATCTGTTTGGATCACTATAGACAGAGGATGGTTGTAAGGTGATGGGGATGGGCAGATTGTGCCTGAGCTAAGGAAAATTTAAAGATGAAAGCACAGATCTGATTGCAAGTGAATTCAATAAACTGCTTAACAGTTTAGGAGAAAGCAGAGGGAATGAGAGGTAACACATGCCTGATGATGGGGAAGGTGAAGAGAGGCTGAAAAGTGAGTGAGATGTGCAGCCTATGGGTGATGGGACCTGCCAGGGGCCTTAGTCACTGGCTGTGGCTCTTCCCAACCATTGCTGGAAGTCAAAAAGTCTCTTAAGACAGAAGCCAGCCTGTACCAATGATATGCAAAGACTGGTGATGTGAAACAACAGAGCATAAAGAACACCTTGCTGGAGCTCATCTTTTCACAACACAGCTGTATCTTTCATCCCACACACACTAAGTTAAACCAGGGCATGGTGTACAGAAAATCAGACTGGGGGGCCCCACCTTGCAGATCTGTGCTGGCCCTGGTGACTGTACAGAGGAGCCTTCAGTGCTCCGACGCTACAGAACAGAGGAAACAGCTCAAACAGAGATAAATCAGTCTCTTAGCTCGATGGAAATGATGCTGCCTGTACCTGAGGGGGGATGACTCCTCCACACATGACCAGGATGTCAGGCCTGTCCAGGGCATTGAGCTCCTTGATGAGTTCAGGCACCAGGGTTTTGTGCCCCGCGGCGAGCGTGCTCACCCCGACACAGTGCACGTCTGCATCCACCGCCTGCTGCGCCACCTCCTGCGGGGTCTGTGTGCAAACAGGGCGTGGGACAGGGCACAGCCACAGCCCGGGGGCTGAGCACGCATTCCAGGGAGAAGGGATGCACTGGGAATGCTCTGGGTGCTGCTCAGTCGTACCTGGAAGAGGGGACCTATGTCCACGTCAAAGCCGATGTCTGCGAATCCGGTTGCGATGACTTTGGCTCCTCTGTCGTGGCCATCCTGACCCATCTTGGCAACAAGGATACGAGGCCTGCGGCCCTCACGGTCCATGAACTTGTTAACTCTTGTTGAAAACACACATTCTGTCAGAGTAAGTCACTGAGAATCGCTGGAAGTATTTCCACACATGAATAAAGCACTTGCTGCAAGTGTAGCGTAATTGCTTCAAATAAAAAGATCTTCCAAGTCATGGTTTGGCTGTGCAGTCTGCACCCTATGTTAATATTCATGCTATGTTATTTCTAGCTCACTTCTTGTATTTACCAGCCTCAAAAATAAAATATTCTTTATTTTAAAAAATCTTCCACTACTCTTTCCCTTTCTAACAGGTAAAGTACTGAATTCTCTGAGGGTTTAATGAGCTGAATTACAACTCACTAAAATACATTTTTTTTAGTTTCCAAGAATAATTATGACCTATTATTTCAAAAGTACTCCACACAGATGGGTCCTGGACATCACATTGTGCATTCTCATTCACTGAATGAAAAAATCTGTCCATGGAAGGATTATTTTTATCTCCTATTCTGTGCAGTCATTCCACTGCCCCTCTTATTTTGGATAGTGGCAGTTTGTATTTCTGTTGTATTGATGCTACTGTGTAATCACAGCCTCAGATATTAACCTGTCATTTTACTGCTCATGATTCAAGTACCACCAGGATCTGTCCGTGGTTACAGGCTGGACTTGCTGATCTTATAAGTCCTTTCCAACCTAAATAATTCTGTGGTTCTAGGTAAGAAAGGGAACTACATTTTGATTTTCAAGGGGTTAGTTCAGTTCTCTTTCACATAAAAGCATAATTTAAAATAGTTAAATTTAAATAGCTAGAATAAAATAACAATGGTGACATTTCCTAGCACAACTACTTTCAAGTCAATCTAGTCATCACCACTGCAAAGCCATCAGTAATTCCCTTTCAGGAGAGCCTGAACTCTTTACGGGTAAACCCCAACACAGCAGGGACTGATGAGCATCGATTTGTGCTGCATCATCTCCCACAGCAGCAGTTCAGGCTCTGTACCCTTGAGGGCAGCAGTAAAGGCAGAAGCTGAGAAAAGGCCCAAAGAGGCAACTGTTTTCACACATAACAACATTTCCGGATGCCTTCTCCATCGGGGTATGAGTAACACCCAAAGACTGGAGGTTGTATCTCTGTATATCCAGAGATTTTAACAACAGTTTAAGCAGCAGTAAGAGTGAAATTGCAGGAACAATTTATGGGCAGATCAAAATGAGGTTTTGTAGCATGAACGGCTGGAAATATTTTAGAGATGACTATTACATAGCCTTTAAAAAAAGCAACCCAATGTACAAGGATTTCAGGCAATGTTTCTCAACTTCTTAATCTTGTGGCTGCATAGGCTATTTGAACAAAACCTTCAAATCATAACTTCACCTTAGTTAATTTTGTTTGCAAGCAAATACAACTTCAATTAAGTTTTGACTTTGTCTTATTGTACTTAATGCTTATCATTCTACTCCCCTGCTTATGAGAGTGCTTTTGCAGGTCGTTGTTTTCCCCAGGGATGTCACTCAGGCTTGGGAAATGTTTTTTTAGGACACATGTACATCCTGGATTAAATGTGAGGCTATTACACATTTGGCTACCTGGAAAGAGTTCTCACCTCTTGATGGCATGAAGGATTTCATCACTCTCCCCAAACTCCTGGCGATAGGCCCCGCTCACCATGCGGTCGCTGGCTTTGTGCTCCCCAAACACCTTCTTCATGGCATCTGTTATCTCCCCCACGGTGCACCTGAGGCACAGACAGAAAACATTCATATTATCAGCAGGCTGAAATGAAAACAGAACACAGAATAACTGGCACTGGCCCAACCACTTGCCTCGCTGCTGGACAAATTTACTTGCATTGATTTCCCTTTCAGTGCTGCAACTCTGAACATCTGACTCACCCCACTGCCACCCACAGATGGAACATGTAAAGGCATTTTTAAGAAAATACTTTATTGCTCATTTGAGAATTAATTTACAACTGGCAAGGCAATGGGGAATGGCAAAATGCTTCAGAAAATTAAATCTGATTTTCTCAATGGGGATTTTTTTTTGAAGGGGGCTCAGACTGAAAGATCCTGCATTTGGATACATGCTAAAATACAAAATATAAATCAAGAGGGGACAAAAAAAGGAAGAACACACAGAAGAGACTGAAACCTAGCATTTTAACAGGAATTTATTTGCCTTTCCCTTTATTTCAGTGTTTATTTTAGTGTTTATTTATTTTAGTGTTTTTATTTTTATTTTAGTGTTTATTCTTCTCCTCTACTCCTGACACAGCTCCTTTACCCACTAAGTTGCAGAAGGATCTGGGAAATTTATTTACATGCAAGTTACAAGTTTTGTTTGCTACTGGACACACTGTACATGTTTGAAAAAATACTTCTGCTGTATTACAAGAGAGAGGAGCAAACTAGGCTGTGCTGTCTTCCTGTACAAACATCTCTGTTCTAAAGCAATAAAAAAATTGTGCTGAATACAGCTTGCTGCAAACTTTGTCAAAGGTGTAATTTTTCTCTAAACAATCCTTTTTCTCTTTCTCTGGTTCTGCTGCATTTCTTCTATATTTTTCTTTCTCTTCCTGGCTTTCTCAGTCTCCTTTGGACCGAATTCTTTTGGGATCCTCCCTTGTGGGGAGCCCTGCTTATATCAGTTCTTTAGGTTTGAAGAAAACTCCGAGCTCGTTAGAATCTTATTGCTCGTGTTTATTGGAAGGTCATCACAAAACTTGGCAGGTCTCTCCAGACTAACTGCACAAACTTAAATCTTTGCAATCTGGTACATTTCTTTCTTCTGATGGTACAACAAGGCCTTGTGGCTTACTTTGTGTCTGACGTACAAAATGGCCCCGAATTATGCAGTGCTTTTATCTTTATACTTATTTTTACCCAATTAACAATAGACACGTATATTATTTTTCTTAATGACCCAATGACCCTTCACGTGTGTGCTGCACTGCGGAATTTTCTAATCAATCACCTACTATTACCCAAAAACCTCTAGAAGAAGAACATGAAGAAGAAAGAAGGACAAGAGACAACACCCTAAATCCTCCATCTTTTCTCCTGTTCTCTAAACTAACTTTTTCACCCAGTGACTTAAGAAAACTTTCTAATCTACACACACTTTTAGCTTTTATATCTAACTTTAACAGTTGTTTTCATGTATCACCATGAAAACGTGCTCATGAATTTCATATTATATGAAATTCAGTGTTTTTCTGGATCTTAGAACTAAGTATCAGAAACAAGGGCACACACTCTGTATCCCAGACTCCAACATTAGGAATGAAAAAAAAATACTACTCTTCTAAACCGCTTTAAAAGTGTGCTTACAAATACAGACACCAAAGTAGTATTAAGTATATAACTAATTAAGCTAGCACATTTCAAACCTCTGGGATTCATATTTTCTCGTGCCATTTATTCTCTAGAACTCCCTGAAAGGAGGGTGGAGCCAGATGGGGGTCAGTCTCTTCCCTCAGGTAACAAGGACAGGACAAAAGGAAATGGCCTTAGGTTGCACCAGGGGAGGTTTAGGTTGGATATTGGGAAAAATTTCTTCAATAAAACAGGTGAACAGGCTGCCCAGGGCAGTGGTGGAGCTCCCGTCACTGGAGGGATTTAAAAGCTGTGTAGATGTGGCACTTGAGGACCTGGGTTAGCAGTGGATTAACAGCGCTGGGGGAATGGTTGGACTTAATGATCTTAAAAGAATTTTCTAACCTAAATGATTCTGTGATTTAACTACAAGCTACTCTGAGGCAAAATTAACTTAAACATTCTCTACAGCTGTTATATAAAATGCTCAGGAAAGACTGGATAAGATGCACCTTGCTGCCCACACACCTCTACAAGGAGATGGCCAAATGACTTGTACTCACTTTTCCTTCTGCTTTTAGCAGTTTCAGCAACTACTGATTCCTACCACGTGCAATCTGCCACATATGCCCCCAAAGTAACAAGACATGGATTTCTGCTGCCTTTGCTGAATCATTTAGTAAATTTTAGAGAGAAGTTTTACTTCCTGTGACCCCTCAACTAATTTGCTCTTTCACTGGCTCATACTCAGCAAATGTAGCTGTAAACATAAACTATGCAAAGGTAAAATGTCAGAAATCCATTCATGATCACACAGGCAAGATCTGTACAGCTCAGATGTCTGAAATGGCCTCTTATTTCTGGTATCACTTTTTACACTTGGCCAGCTTTGGCTAAAGACAGCATCACTCTAGAACACACATTTTTACCTCATGTTATTGATGCTGTTTGGGCCATTTTTGTCATTTCCCCTTCCCTGGATTTCTGGAATTCTGTTTGACTCACTGTTAATCACTTGTGTCATCAGGTTTTGATTTTAGATTTTAGATCAGGACATCTAAGTAATCTTATTAATATTATTGCTTTCTGTCATTACTAACAAAGAATGAAAAGTAAACTGCAAAAGTGCATTAGGTAAGGTCACTTCCCCAAGTTTAAAAAGCAAGTCTGCAGCAGACTTGAAAACACTGTCTATAAATACTGACTCATTTTCAGAGTGCCAGACATCACAGATTGCAGCCCAAAATAAATATACCCCATGCACAAACACTGAGTGTTTACTCCTGGCAGTGTGGTGTGGCAAGAAACACATCTTTTCTCCTAGAGAAAACTAAGCTTAGGTAAATCTTTCTCCTCCTCTTTTGCAGCAGTAGTATCTGAGTATACTTCAATGTTAAATAAAGGCTACCATGGCTGTGGTGTGCTTTTCTGTTCTTATTATATAGAAGTGTGAACAAAATTTTCATGTTACAAATGAAAAATAAATGAGGTATAAGCTGGTGGGTGGGATAAAGTTGTTTTTGCGTACTGTACAAAAATGAAACACACTTCATTCTTCTCCAAGACACTGCTTCTGAAATCCCTGTGTTTTGAAAATTGTATCCTAAATCTCTGCAACCCTTTAAATCTAAATTTAAGTAAAAACAGGAGTTTTGCTTTTAAACTACTCATAAATACTTTCTTGCTGTTTACCAAGAAATTTATTTTTTTTTTTTAATCTCTGCCACATATGCATCCACAATGGAATAGCTGTATCTGGAGCCAGGAATATAGCCTCTTTTCTTTACAGAGTCATTTTTTATCAGTCTGTATTTGTGTGTGACTCTCTCCCAGTGGCTCACAGCCAGCCACAGAGCCTAAATACCAATTTGGAGAAAGTCAATGACCATAATGTGCCTGTTAGAGCTGGGACCCCGTGTCTGCTGAGCCTGAGCTGCTGCTGCTCCTCTCTGTGTTTCCCCAGTAAGCAGAGGCAGCAGTGTAAAATCAGCAGAGGAAGTACCACAAGGACACAGACCGGGCAGAAAAAGAAGCAGCACAAGCAGCTACACTGCATTTCTGCCTTCCCTTTCCACCACTGAACTGCAAGTCTAGAGAGGGATACAAAAAGAGCATAGCAGGTGAGGGATGAGAGAAAGAATTTGGCATCACCCATCCCACTTTCCTGTAAGGGGGTTTCTCAGGAGACACGAGGCACAGAAGGGAGGTATCATTCTCATTCCCTGTAACTTCACATCTGCCTTATTTCTTGGGCTAGAATAACAACATTAACTTTTCTACTCATGTTTGTCAGCACTGAAATCTCTGTACTAGTCCATAGAATCTCTTCCACAGTTCAGCACTAACAATTCTGTGCTACTCATTTTATTCCAAGTGACTTAAATTACATCATGCTCAAAATCCATAATTTTCCATTTAGCAGAAAGAGGCATCCGTCCCTCTCATGCTGGTGAAACTGGCCCACTTGTTTACTGCCTGTGAAGGGTGAATGTGTTAATTTTCAAACCTTTTCCCATCTTACCCCCAAAAGGAAGGCTCTCTGTATGTGCTCCCAGAGCTCACAGTCCTCCCTCAAACACTCAGTACCAGATGCCACGACAGCTTCTTTCTGTGCTCACATCCCATATATAGTTTTGGGGCAGAATTAAGTCTTGTGTTTGGAACTTACAAAAGTGCATCTTCAGTCTATTAATGCTTTTACAGTTAACAGAAACAAGGTCACCAAGGAGAGAAACTAGGACTTAACTGGTCAATTGTGGTACAGAAGAATCCCTTGTAAATCCAACACTTCCCTCCTGTGACCTTCCCAGTTCAAATACAAATGTAGACATACTACTGGAGATTCCTGACAGGCTATGGTTCAATGTATTTAAAATACACTTATTAAGTATTCTAGGAGTGGGAATGAAGGAATTTGAGACATGACAGTTAAAACAGAGCAGCACCCCAATAAGGAGTGAATTTGCTCATATTTGGGCCATTTAGTTAATTAAGAAACCGACAGACAGGATCTATCCTACAGACTGATGCTGACCTTGAAACAGGAAAGAAAACAGCCTCAAAAGTACCTTGGGTGAAAAAAGAAGCTCTTCCACTGGACTCTAAGGATTCCTCACACTGCTTAGTAACATTTCTTACAACTTTGCCTGACTAAGCAAAAAGATTTCTCCTTCAGCCAAAAAATGTTTTCACACCAATTTGTGGTGCAAAGATGAAGCAACAGAGCATGATGAAACTGTGTATATCCATTTTCACATCTCAGACACTTCTTAAACTCCTTCACCCATGAAACAACTGAGTGACAAAGAAACCCAGTTATGTCCTAGAACTGGTAAGAATATGAGTTGTAAACAGCAGAATGTGTATGAGCAGCCTCATCATATCAGACTCTTTATATCTGTAATGTTCCATGTGAGAAATCAAAGCATTGCCTTAAGAAGCTGTAAAATGTAATAAGAGTGTATCCTACAATGTGAAACTGCAGCCATTATTTATTCCCACCTCTAAAGAGAAGCCCCAAAACTCCAATCTTGCTGACATCACACCCAAGAAAAGTTAAAGGGTGAAAATGAACCATCAATTTTTAAACAAGAATTGGCTGTTCAACTCGACCCCTGGTACCTGGCACGTGCTGCTTCCACTGCCAGAGCAAGTAAGTTGCCTTCCCCAGTGGCAGCACATTGTGTGAGAGCAGCCAGGGACTGCTGGGCTGCTGCTTGGTCTCTGCTGGCCTTCACCTAAAGTGCAGGAGAGAGACATTCAGTTCAAAGAAACCACAAAGTGAAACATGAAGTCGAGTGTGGAAGACTGTCTAATTTCAAATATTAATTCTGGATATGGAACTGTCAATATCCACTTCCTATTTCAATGAGATTGGAAGTCAAAAGGCATCTCAGACCTTAAAATGTGTACAAGTCCATAACATAACCCTAAACCAATTTTATCTACATTTTCATTGATTATGAAAGTGGAAGTTGACTTCTGGTTCTGTAACCTGCAAAAAGCACTCAACAGTGAGTGATTAAGCAATATTACAGGCTTTTAGAGCAAAACATTGCATAGATGGTTTCTATCTTAGTTTCAGAACATGTAAAGCTCTCAGTTTTTAAAGTTTTTATATTCCTGTTTATCCACTAATGACCAGAGTGGACTCTCACAAATGGGAAAGTCAAACTTCTGGCAAGCTGCCTTTACTCAATCTGTGTCTGCAATTACAGTAAGATTCATATCTAAGAAGGTTGTTCCCACCTTGTTGATTTTCTCAATCTGCTTGGCACGGACTACAGAGTTATCGATGGCCAGAACTTCCACGGTCTCCTCTTTCTCTAGCTGGTGCTTGTTCACTCCAACAATTACTTCAGACCCTATTTTTAGTGGAAATACCAGAAAATCAGAACACATTTGCAAACTACTCTGAAAAGACACAATGTTAACAGGATAAGAAGATTTTGAGCATTATTATGCATTTCTTTACTTATATAACCATACACATTTCAAATACGTAAAATCTGCTCTTATAGAATGGATTCAAGTTAGTATTTTCCAGATTTTATGATGAGAGATTAAATGCATGAACATTCAACTCAGTGAATACTGCAGCAGAAAAAAGACAAGAAATACAACAATATTTATCTTGCAAACTGATTTAGTAATGAGTCTCTAAAATACATTGGCTATTTTTCTCTTTTTGAGCTTACATAAGTGTATCTGACAGAACTAAGCAGAAGTGCTGGTCTCCTGCTCTGCACTTACTTTTCTGATTTAACAGATAAATAAGAAAGTGAAGTTCTTACCCAAAACTACTCTTTGTGCATTAAAATTAATTTTTCATGCTGTAAAATTGTATTTTAGGTTTCAATCAGTATGGACTTATCAGCTATTTTTATTTGCAGTTCCTGATAACAATACGCTCCTTGAAGCAACATGAAGTAATTTACCTTACGAGAGAAAACACAGAACTTCACTGATTATTTTTTATTGGTCTTAATTAAAATCTGCTTCAAATTTATCCTCCATACAAAGAAGTCCTTATAACGTCTTTCACGTTATCCCTAGTTTCTGTTCCTAGATTACTAATGGAATGCAGATTACAAAAAGTGAAATAGAGTTTTAAGCACTCATGTATAAATATCTCCACAAATACTTACTCTGTGAGTACATATACACATGTATAGCAAACAAGGAGTTGTATCATCCTCTGCTACGATCTGACCATTCAGGGAAAAAGGGCAGTTCTCCAGAAAACCCAGGAATTTGGCCAGCCATGGTGAGTATTGCCATCTGGTGGCATTTCTGCTTTTAAACTCAGCAATCACAGCTTAAAGCTCTTACCAGAAATCAAGCGATTCACTACTGAAGGCTCCAAGCACTCCTTTAAAATGGTGTTTCTACTGCTTTGTCTAATCTAATCTTGAACATATCAAGCAAGACTTTTCACACTGGTGCTATATTTTGTACGCACTGTCTCTTTCCAGAGCTTTCACTAATATAAAACCATCACCATTTTTTCTATCACTCACAATCTGCTACCCCCAAACTGAGAAATAAAAAACCACAATGAACATGTGTGTAAAAAACCTTTCTACCAAAGTATTCTATTGGAAATTTTTTCTTCTTTCATCCCCCTGCTCCTACCGGAGTCAATCCTGGCTTGTCTCCGGGCTGCACACTCTTCAATACGAAGTTTGGGGATCCCCTCAGCAACAGCTTTGGCCATTCCACCCATTTCTTCTATTTCCTCAATAAGCTGAGAAATGAAAAGGTTTGAGATAGTGAGTAGTAGCAAGGTTTAAAAATTGAGCTTTGTATCTGTGCTATCACTCACATTTTCATTAAAACTTTTTTATACAGCTTTGCGCTCTAAACTATTTTGTAAAGTTTATTTACAAAGACATCACTGAAGCAGAAGTGTAAACTAATTCCTAGATTAAAAGTTACCAATTTATCAAACAGCTCCATAGAAGACATTTTTCAAAACTCTTATCCCTAAAATTTTCCCAAAGAAGGTTCTGCAAACTGACCTTTAAAGCAGCTTCATAGACATCATTGGTGAGGCACTCCATGAGGTAAGATCCCCCCCAGGGATCTGCCACTTTGGGAATCCCCGATTCCTCCTGGATTATGATCTGTGTGTTCCGGGCAATGCGAGCACTCTTCACTGTGGGCAGCCCCAAGGCTTCATCAAAGGAATTGGTGTGCAAAGACTGTGTCCCTCCAAACACTGCAGCCATGGCTTCGATGGTGGTGCGGATGACGTTGTTGAAGGGATCCTGGAAGGAAAAGGGGAGCTCTGAAGCTCAGTGGTTCTGCCACGGGGCTGAGGCAAGTTAGTCATTATTGCAAAGAAACACATGCAAAATTCCCTACTGAAAGACTGTAATCAGAACAAAAAGCTGAAAGAAACCTAAATCAAATGGATTTATCACCTGTCAATTATCTTAAGAAAAGAGATTAATCCATAAAGAAAGCCAAAATGATCACTGTGCAAGTAAACTGCTCACAGTAACAAATCAAAGCCTAATTTATATTTGGTGGTATTTCAAAGAACTTAGTGAATCCAAATCATAGAGGATGGAACAGTAGACCTGATGTCTTCCATCCTCCAAATCCAGAATTCTTGGGGCAGTGAACAGTACATGTGGCAGACAAATTACTAGTCAAGATGTGTTTTGGAACTAAATGTGCTTAAATATTTTCATTAATGACAGCATCACATAAGGTAATTATCGAAAACTGTGATTTGGATAAGTAAGAATGTAAAACATAATTTATGAGTAGCTACCTATCTAAAGGCATCTTAAGTATGTTTTCTCTCTGAAACTTAAAAGAAGAAAATATTTCACACTGAGAAGCTATATTAAGATAAACCACAATGTTTAGAAAAAAATAAAGAGTTTGATCTAGCCAGAAATATAGTTACACTGCACACTGGAAGACAATTGAATATAGTTTTGGTAATAATAACATTTTTTCACTCCCACAATACTTTTAGTTGGAGAACCCACAGAGGCCGCTGTTAGAAAATTCCAGTGTTTTAGTTTTACTGTATTGTTGTAATGTAAGTAAACATTACATTTATTAAAAACAAAACAAAACAAAAAAAAAACAAGGCAGAGAAGTCAACAATGCTTACAATCACAACCTAAAAATAACTCCCATTGCATGACTTTGAGCAACAGGCCTTGGGATCAGAGCTGGAACCCAGCTCTAACCTCACTTGGGAAACTGTACGCACTCCAATGATTTATCTCCTTGCTGTAATGTAAATCAGCAGAAAGAGCAGAGTGCACCCAGTTTCAAAGGAGCACTCCTTTGAAATGAGCTGTAACCATTACTTCTCTCTTCAGCACTGAGCATCAGGCTGTGAATGACTCCCTTGATTGCTCAAAAGAATTCTCAAGACAGTGATCCTGAGAAAACAGTGCCTCTACTACTTGCTGACTGCACTGAATTTTGGAAGGATAACTCACAGGACAAATCCAGGAGAGAGCTTCATCCTCTGAGTCCTGAACAGACATAAAGGTATAACCAATGCCAGAGTGTACCATTTGTCAAACTGAGAGCACAGCTGCTGCACCTTTGTGAGTAACACCAGCAGCCCCTTTTAAGACACGTACCACGAGAACACCTTTAAGTAAGGAGGTTGATGAGAGTCCAATTTCTAACCTGCTCAGTGAGTGACCAGCCCGAAGTCTGACAGTGAGCTCTCAGCAGAAGAGATTTGGAATCCTTGGGCTTAAACATTTTCTCAATCAAGTGAGCCCACAGCCTCCTCCCAGCTCTCAGCTTTGCTATTTCCATATAGAAGTTCATGCCAATTCCCCAGAAGAAAGAGAGCCTGTAATAGGAGAACATGAATAGAACGTAACATTGAATCGTTTTAATAACTCTGGATCAGTAATGGAGAGACCCTACAGCAATGTCTCTGGTTAATATATTTTCACAGTTGATGGGAATGCTCCTATTTGCTTGTATGTGTAAAAATACTGAATTTGGTATTAAACTCTATAGAAGTTTTACCAAAAGTGAGTTTTATATTTGCAAATTTCTTGAGCTCACCTAGGTGCAAATTCGTCAATAGTGAGGCCAGCTTTAAGCCCAGTTCTGCAGTACTCCAAGCCATCTGCTATGGTATAAGCTAATTCCAGGATGGTGTCAGCTCCTGCCTCTTGCATGTGGTACCCACTGATGGAAATGGAATTAAATTTTGGCATATGCTGAAAAAAAGGCCAAAAACAACAAGATACAAAAGGGTATAACAGCAGAGGGAAGAATCAAATACTTTTTCTATCAACATTCACACAGAATAACAGAATGGTTTGAGTTGAAAGGGAGTTAAAGGTCATCTGGTTTCAACAACTCCTGCCATGGGCAGGGGCACCTTCCACTATCTCAGGTTGCTCCAAGCCCCATCCAACCTGGCCTTGGACACTTCCAGGGATCCAGGGGCAACCACAGCTTCTATGGGAACCTCTGCCAGGGCCTCAAAACCTGCACAAGGAAGAATTTATTCTAATATCCAATCTAAATGCTTTTAGTTTAAAAATGTTCCTCCTTGTCCTGTCACTATCTGTGTAAAAAGTTGTCACTATTGGTGTAAAAGGCTGCTCTCAATCTATTTTATAAACCCCTCTTAGGAACTGAAAGGCTACAGTGAGGTTCCCCTGGAGCCTTCTCCAGGCTGAATACCCACAGCCTCTCTCAGCCTGTCTCCAGGGCAGAGGTGCTCCAGCCCATTCTCTGAATTCCTTGTTGACTGCAAATACAACCCCTCTCTACAAAGATGTGTTTGCAGATCTGGTCTGACTCAAACTTCAAATTTATATTATAAGTGATATTGGATCTTAACTTCTCCTACTGGCCCTTTCCACAACCATAATACTCTTCTCTATGACACCTTCCCATCTTTTCTTTGTTCTCCAAAGTGCCTCATAAACAGTTAACCTAATAATAAAAGTTATAAACAATGAATACCTTTGAGGTGTACTGGAAGATGTCAGCAATGATCCGCATGGATGGTTCTGGGGGGAAAATGTAGGTATTTCTGACCATGAACTCCTTCAGGATGTCATTTTGGATTGTCCCTGTCAGCTTGGCCTGAGGCACTCCCTGCTCTTCTCCAGTCACAATGAATGTAGCCAGCACAGGAATGACTGCCCCGTTCATTGTCATGGAAACTGACATTTTCTCCAAAGGAATTCCATCAAAAAGGATTTTGGTGTCTTCCACTGTGTCGATGGCAACTCCAGCCATTCCAACATCTCCTCGAACTCGTGGATTGTCTGAATCATAACCGCGGTGAGTGGCTAAATCAAAAGCAACTGATAATCCCTGTTGGCCAGCTACATGAAAAAGAAAGGAAAAAAACCCCAAAAAACCCCAAAGAAAGATAGTTAGAAGTGTTGAACAGACTTGCATTAGGATGGGATCTAAATTTATTAACTTTATTTTACATGATTCAGGTTTGGATGGCAAACTAAATTTTGATTTAAACACTGTTCCCTCCCCAAACCTGTCCAAGGTCTAGTAGTCTTAATCTTTAAATGAAAAAGTTTTTAACTGGGAAAAAAAAGCCAAAAATGTAGTCCTTACTTTAAAAATTACTGAATAACAGCTCACCCACAAATTATAAATATGCCTAGACAGGCAGTGTAAGAGCTTACACACATAACTCAGCTTGGCTTAGCTGGGAACAGAAGTGTCATAAACTCTGTCATGTTACCTTCTCTTTATCACAAACTAAACACACACTGTTCCCTGGCTCTGCTGACACACGCTGTTACTTGTAAATCTGCAGGGAGAGAAAATTATTCATATGAAGCAGGGAACAGGATGGCCAGAGTTCTTGTTGCTGCAACCTGAAAGCAGAACCCAAAAATCTGCTCTGCCCAGGCATTCCCTCCTCTGACCAGTGACTGGGCTGTGCTACCAGCTAACCCAGGTTACCACTTCTGCTTCAGCTCCATGATCTCAGCTGCTTGAATCCTGTGATGGATCCAAATTATGTCTATGTGTTAAGGTGCAACAACTAAAACCAGTATTTAACACATTCATTCTTCACAGCAAAACAAAATAAAGGCACTTCCAGAAATTAACTTCCAATTACCCAGTAATAAAGACAGTGCCACTGGGAAGGCCTTATCAGAAATCCAAACTCACAGCGTAGAATAATCCCATTTGCCATGTAACTGACTGAAGTCATGTCCCCCTTTGCTTCACAAGGCAGTGTGGTTTCCCAGACCAGCTGCCCCACCTTTGATGTTGTCTTTGTAGAACTTGTTGCTCTCCTCCACTGTACTGAAGCCAGCATACTGGCGGATGGTCCACGGCCTGTACGTGTACATGGTGGGGTAAGGCCCTCGAGTGAAAGGCTTCACCCCTGGCAGCTCCTCAGGGAAGTCCTCTGTGTCCCTTTTGGAGTATAAAGGCTTGATGTCAATCCCCTCTGGGGTGTGCCAAATTAAATCCTTTGGGTTCTTGCCTTTCAGCTGCTTCTGAGCCAGGGCAGCCCACTCGGGGTGCAGCGGCTGCCTGTGCAGGGAGCGCCAGGCCAGGAGTGCGCAGCGGCGCGGCTGCAGCCGCAGGATGGCATCCCCGGCCCTCAGCATGGCTCTCCTCACAGTGTGGGGCAAGCTGGACAAAATAAAAAGACATATTTTGCATTATCATATGCACCTAGCATAGGAGATGTGAGGATGTAGAGGTCAAGCAGTTTGCTAAAGCCAAAACAATCCCTCAGAAGAAAAATGAAACATCTTAATCACACACTGATTTGACAGACAGCCCTTCCTCTTGCCTTTCAACCAGGAACAGAGTTCAGGAAAAATCCTACGTTTTCCTCTAACTAAAGAAAAAGTTCCCTCAACTTATCTACATCCACATCTGAGATGTGTAAATTGTTTCAGTCCCTCAGCATCACAGTCATTAATCAGTCACTGAAAAGCCAGTGTGAGGCATGAAGATGGCATGGACAGCTACCCTCTCACCTTCACATCTCTCTCATCTAGGAATTCCTTAATGTCAAACAGCGATGCTTTTCCAGGGATGAGGCAGCTACAGCTTCTGTGGGCAACCTGTACCAGGGCCTCATCACCCTCACAGGAAGAATTTCTTCCCAATATCCAACATCAAGGAGGTGCTCTGCAGCAAGTGAGCTGTCAGAAAATTGCTGATATAATCATACACTTTGGAAAAGATGGCTTGGGCTGGATGGAAACTAGAGATAGGCTGAAAAAGAAAGGAGAAGGAAAAATATGGTATGTGAGAACACCAGGACAATACAAAGCTGCAATACAAGCTTGTCTCACCATGCATGAGACTGCTAGGGGCAAGAATGTGAATAATTCCCTTTGAGGGTGGTGAGGCCCTGGCACAGGTTGCCCAGAGAAGCTGTGGCTGCCAAATCCCTGGAAGGCCAAGGCCAGGTTAGATGAAGCTTGGAGCAACCTGGGATAGTGGAAAATGTCCCTGTCTATGGCAGGGGTTGGAATGAGATGATCTTCCAGGTCCTTTCCAACACAAACAAGTCTGTGAGTTCAGTAACTCCTAAAAGCTGTAAGCTCCTTTGCTTCTGCTCTGCATACCCTATCCTTGCACTTCTTTACAAAAACAAAACTTTTACAGCTTGGCTCCAAGGGTCAGTCACCTCCTCACTGCCTCATCTCTTTCACAACTCCCAAGAAATACACACTTTCTTGACACCTTTATAAGAAATTCTGCATAAAACTGAAAAGCACCTGTATCACTGCAGCAATACCTCCAAACATGTGCTTTAATAATATATATAGTAAGTGTGGTATGCCTATAACCTGAGGAGCACAGAGGAGCTCCTGAGGAGAACTCATGCCCTGTGGGGATGTGATGCTGCAGCCAGGATTGAAGGCAACCTGTGCCCACACACCTGTATGGGCCACAGGACGAGTCAGGCTGGAAGGGACCACAGTGGCTCATCTGATCCAACCTCCCTGCTCAATCAGGCCCATCCCAGAGCACAGGGCATGGGCAAGTGTCCAGGCAGTTCTGGAATATCTCCAGTGAGGAGACTCCACTCCCTCTCTGGATAATCTGCTCAGGGCTCGGTCACTGCACGGGGAAGAAGTTCTGCCTCCTGTTCAGGTGGAACTTGCTGGGATCAATCCCTGCCCATTCCTCTGCTGCCATTGCTGGATCCCCATGGAACAGAGCCTGGGCCCTGCTCTGAGCCCTCCCTGCTCACAGGGACACCCAGGGATGAGGGCCCCTCTCAGCTGGGGCTCCCCTCGAGGCTGAACAGCCTCAGCCCCCTCAGCCTTTCCTGGGCAGGGAGATGCTCCAGTCCCTCCATCATCTTTGTCACTGGGATCTGGACCCATTCCAGGAGCTCCAGGTCTCTCTTGTCCTGAGGAGCCCAGAACTGGACCCAGCACTCCAGATGTGCCTCCCAGGGCTGAGGAGAGGGGCAGGATCCCCTTCCTGCTGGCACTGCTCTTCCTAACTCGCCAGGATTATTCCTTCCCCGGTGCTGGACGCTGCACCTTGTTCAGTTTCAGACAATTCTTCTCTGCCCATCTCCCAGCACACCCCGAGGGAACCCCAGATCCGCCCTGCCAGCCCCTCTCCGCACCTCTCCCTCCTCAGCACCCACAGCTGACTGGAACGCTCCGCTCTCCGACAGCGCCCGCCGCCACAGCCCGCCCCCAACACGCCCCTCGGGCGGCCAATGGGGACGAGGGCCCGCGCCAGGGGCTGGAATAGGGGATAAGGACAAGGAGAGCAGCAGGGCTCGGGGCTCCGAACATGGACAGGGACATGGAAAGGGATCGGGATCAGGACAGGGATGGGATCTCCCCCCCCTACCTGCCACCGGCCCCTCCGTCAGCGCACGGCCCCTGCGCACGCGCGGTGGGCGGGAGAGGCGCTGCGCGTGCGCTGCGGGGAGCGCGGGTTTATTTAGTAACGTCCCGGCGGGCTGAGGCGGGACCGGCGGCAGCGCTGAGGAGGTGGAGACAGCGCCGGGAAGGTGAGGCTTGAGGCTAGATGAACCAGGAGGAGAGGAAGGGGTTTGTGGAGATGTTATCCGCGATGCTATCCGACAGCACCGGGGGAGTGGGCATTTGGGGATGTGAGGGAGTCTGGGTGGGAAAGACTACAACTCCCAGCATGCGCTGCGATTGGGTTAAGTACCTAGGCTGCGAGAGGAGCGATGCATGCCGGGAGTTGTAGTGTTGTAGTCCATGCCGTATTTGCGGTTCGCTGTGAAAGCTGTCCCACAACATCGGTAGTTATGGGGTCGGGATTGGCAGGGTTTATTTACTTGGTTTAGGGCTTATTTAGCTGGTGTGGAGCTTATTTGCCTGGCATATGGTTTATTTACCTGTTTTAGGCCTCACTAACTCGGCCGGGGTTTATTTGGTGTCAATTTCGACGGTTGCCTGGTGAACAGTGACAGGACCTGGGTGAGGGAAAATGTGGCCTGAGGGAGTGAGGGAAAAGCTGAATAAATCTGGGTCGCGGTGCTTTTGAGAAGGGTGGTGGGGTTTGTGGTTACTCCCTTCTGTGTGACTGCTTTTCCCTCGGTCTCTGTAGTAATTTAGGAAAGAAACTAAGTTTAAACTGCATCAGGGACTACCGTGCTTAGATGCTAAGGTAAAATATTCTGGTAATTGGATGACTGCACTGAAAATTAAAAAGATAAATCATAGAATCACAAAATGGTTTGGGTTGGAAGAGACCTTAAGGATCATCCATTTCAAGCCCCCTGCCATGGGCAGAGACATCTTCCAAGTGGGGATACTTTTTTAGTGGTCCTAAATTTAGGTAAATTTACAGGCTTTGGGTTCTAGGTTAGCAAATATTCAGAAATTTCATCTCCTTTAGCCTCATTTGGGGCTTATTGGGTTGAGACCAATTTCTATAATTTTGTTTTTTAATGGTTTGCACTGTATGGGTTATAATTGCTGGATTTTAATTTTGTCTTTGTTTGCTCCTTTTCCCATTGGCTTACAGATAATGAAACCCTGCCACACATCTTCCAATAAAATGGGGAAACCAACTAGTGGGAGATCAGCAAAAAATCCTTTTAAATCTCAAAATCAGCAAGGGCCTTCCAGCAAAAAAAAGGGAGCAGATGAACAAGGAAGAAAACAAGGTCAAAAAAGACAGGTATTCGTTTATTTGGATCAAACAAAGTAGAAAAGTAACTGGGTGAGGGGGGAGGGGAAAGAGGTATTTTTTCCCATTTTTTTAAATTGCAGTTTATAGAGAATAATTCATTAATTAAGAACAGCCCTCTTGAGGAAATGCCCAGTGTGAAGAGCTCTTTTGAGAAGTCTTCAATAAAGCTGCTTTTTCTTGTGGTCATGTCAAAGACTTTTGTCAGACACTGGCATAGTGAGTTCATGGGAGCAGATGAATGATTGCAGTGCAGAGGATGTCTCAAAATTGCCACATATGCTGTAAATTTTTCCCTTCAGCAGGTCCCTCAGAAAGTCAAAAGGGAAGTTAAGGAATTCAAGGACTATTCCCCTGCAGGTAGGGTCCTATTCTTTGCTGTTAAATCTGAACTGTTTTACACCTTTGACTCCAGTCTGACTGAATTGAGTCAGAAAGCTGTCTGTCTGGATTTGACAAGTCATACATTTCCCTTTTTTCCTCTGTGATAACAGGAGAAAATGGTTCTTCAAAAAAGGTGAAGCTGTCCAGTGCTACAATAGGATCTTGGCAGCCTCTCTCAGAGAACAGTAGGCTGTTCCTGGAAAATATAGTGGATTCAGTAGTACTGTAAGTGCCAAATATTCTGGTGGTTCTTCTTTGTTTTCACAAGGAATAAAGTAAAAATTGTATTACTTGAACTGCAAGTCAGTGGGGATTTTGATGTGTTCTCTGTGCTTGCAAGCTTTGTGATGGAAATTCTGCCTTTATTTTCTTTCCAGATCTGTTTTGTCCCAGCAGAGGAAGAAAAAAGATGATGTTCAGAAGCACCTCAATGTACTGAAAAAAAGGTATGAAATTATAAATTTTAAAAAAAAGAGGGAGAGAATTCTTCTACCCAGTTGTTTTGTACGATACTTTGAGGGTGAGCTAAAACTTTCTCTTTCTGACTTAAAGCTATGTATTAAGTTTCATAAAGGCAGGTTTTACTAAAATGATCATCATTTGGAAGCAGTTAAAAATTCTCCTCTTGGAACTTAATTTAAAAAGCAGAAGGGTCAGAACTGGGAAAATATTAATTAATGTCAGTTTAGAGTCAGGGAATGTAGACGCCAATGGAATATAAACCAAAGGAGGTCAGTGCAATAGAAAACATGAGACTATTGGGATTCCTTGTTCCTGGTTCCTTCCTACTCCACATGATTTTGGAAAACAATTCAAGGCAGTTTTTCTTTCTCTCTGCAACCTTTTACTTCACTGGCAGCAATTAAATTTAAAACTAAAGTGAGATTAGGTTTTCCCCAGAATTTTCTTTTTGCTTTGCAAAGAACTCCAAACAAACCATGCTTTCCATTTTCTGTAATTAAAGGGTACTGAGAAGTTTCAAGTCTTTAAAGGTGCCTCCAGGGGAGCTGGGCAACCTGAAGAGTATCCTGAGCCTTCAAATGGCAGAGAAGCAAATGCTTGAGACAAATGAGGAGTCTCTGGTTCAACTGCAGGTATGAAAAGCAGGGAAGGGTGGGAATTACATTTACCACACTGCTGGCCGTTCCTGTGCTGTTATGGAGGAGTGTCCAGTGTTCATCATTGCCACCCACCTTTGCTACAAAGCTCTGTCTCTTCTTGGATGTTTTTTCAGTGATTCAGTGTGGTCTGTGGGAAAGACTCACCATCTCTAAAGTAAATTTTCTTCTGGTTTTGTCTGTTTCGTTTTAGGAAGAAATAACTGAAGCAGAACAATCAGCAGAGCGCACTGAGGAAAATATACAGCAGCTGAAGTACAAAATCCAGGTGCTCAAGAACCAGCTGGAGGAAGATGAAAAAGATGCCAGGAAGGTATTTTTCATAAATACTTGTGTATTCCTATAACCTAGACTTCCAGAGCTTTCTCAACCAAACTATTTCTCAGACAGTGTTGCTTAAAGAAGGCCTCATTTGCCTTTGAACATGGATCTTCTTCATCTTTCCAACTTCAGCTGCAGAATTAAGAAGTTTGGTTTCAGAAGTTGGATAATGACAGGTTATTTTCCTACTTGTGTGCCTGATATTTGGGGGTTTGGATTGTTTTTTCATTCTCTTCTTCTTTTTCTAGATATTCC